AATGTGCAAAATCCAGCCCCTCTGAAAAGCCAGATGCTTGTTTAGATCGCTGGCATTAGGTGCCCAAGCCTGAAAACTCCATTCTGCATTTTCCACCCGTGTTCTAGAGGTGAACAGGAGGGCCAGCTTCAAAACTTCCCATCCAAACAGGGCTTTGGACAAAAAACTGGGGGTCTGACAACCTGAATTTTTTCACAAAAAGTGTCTGTTCCCCCTCCTCTGAAAATCAAATTTTCATCTAAAGCTTTTTGGCTGAAAATTCTCAGCTTGTTGAAAAGCAGTTGACATTTTTCCATGGAAAATTCGTCCACCACAGAATGTTTGTTTTCAGCAGAATTTTCCAGACAGGGAATATTTTTGGGCCAACTCTAGCTGGTAGCATTTTAAGAGACAGCATCTGGATCATCAGAAATCAGGAGCAAGTAGTTGAGAGGAGCACCTCAAAGGAGAAATATAAATAAATCCAAGTAATTGCTTCATAACAGCCAGTTGCCAGAACAGCAGAACTAGAAGGGCATAAAACCATGTTGTGAGAACCTCACAATCCCAACTGGTTGGTCAGGCACTTCATTGCTATTTACCCTAAGTGTCCTGCAATTTTCTGTGCCATCTGCCTCCATGCCAGCTCTCTGTCCACAGTACCTTAGCGATAGCCCCAAAGGAAACAGTTAACAGATCCCTCTGCCCTGAATCCTTCCAGAGGGTTTTTTTTAAACTGTTTTTTGTCTTCACCCATTCCAGAGGAATCCCCAAGACAGACTCAAAAGCATCCACTACACATTTTTCAAAACTCTCTGCAAAACAGTCTGGGGGACTCTTCAAAGCTGCTCACTTGAAATGTGGCCCAAAATCAAGGACAACTTTCCTTCCATCAAAAAACCCCAAACTAACACACGCACTGCTGCCCCAGTTCAAGGGCATGAAAGTAATTTGCATAATCACTGAGGACAGGCAGGAAAAGTTGAATCTTAGGTTTCCATTTCCCAGCTCAAGCTGAGAGAAATGAAACTGAAAGCAGATGCTTTTATCTGGGCTGGACAAGGTCAAAAAACACTGTTTAAAAACAAGTTCGGGGCGGGTTTGTGGCAGAGGGATCTGAAAGCTGTTTCCTTCAGCACTCTCATTGCTAATGCACAATCGCAGGAGAGCTGGGATGAAGGAGGATAGTACAGAAAACTTGCAGGGCAGTTAGGTTGTGGCAACTAAGTGCCTTGACGTTAATGATACAGTTGAACCTGAAGGTTAGGAACACCTCGGGAACGGAGGTGGGGGATAACACTGAAATGTTTGTAACTGAACAAAATAGTATGGTTGTTCTTTCAACAGTTTACAATGGAACAGCGACAATACAGCTTTGAAACTTTACTGTGCAGAAGAAAAATGCTGTCCTCCCCCTTTTTTTAAAGTAGCTTCTGTTTGACACAGTAGTGTATTGTATTTGCCCCCATCTCCTTACTGCTGCCTGATTGCCTACTTCTGGTTCCAAACCAGGTGTGTGGTTGACTGCGTTTCATAACTCTGGTGTTTGTAACTCTGAGGTTCTCCTGTATCCGGTTTCTTAATTAGGAGTGCGGCTAAGCAAGCAAAGGAAACCAGTGTGACAGCGCATTGGGGTTCCCCCGTCTCCTGCACCCCGAAATGGCACCAACAGACTGCACCAGCCGGTGGAATAGAGGAAGTTTATTGCCTCTCCAGGATACAGCACAGCACAGATGTAATCTGGTCACAGAGCTGGGCTAGGATGCCTCAGGCCCCCTTGAGATGGGGGAGACTGGGCCCCTAAACTCCAGCCCCTTTCCCTAGGCTGTCTCCTCCATGCTCTCAGACAGCAACTCACTAACTCCCTTCCAGCCCTGCCCCCCAGCCAGGGCAGCATTCCACCTTCCTTTGTTCCTCTCCATGGGGGGTGTCTGGCCATACTGGTTTGCATAGTGACTCATCCTGTTTTGCTGGGTCCTGGTACCCACGGCAGCCAGTGGGGGTTACCCCAGAGCCAGCAGCATAGAAACCAGCCAGGTACCCCCACTACGTCACAACCAGATTTAAGGGGAGCTTTCTAACAGGGAGGTTACTTTGTTGGGAGCCCTCTTTCCACATCTGTTGTAAATATTGACTGCTCCAGGAGAGCCTCTCTTGGAGACAGGGTTGGCAGAATTAAATCATTTAGCAGCTCATATTGTTTGAAATGTATTTATTTAAATGGTCACAATCAGGGGCGGATTGGCCCGGTGGGATACCGGGAATTTCCCAGTGGGCCGTGGTATCCACCCGTGACGGGCTGCTGTTGCCTCGCACTCCGAGCGGCTCTGCGTCCGTGCTGTATGTGGCACACGGAGCCTGACCCGCCACTTGTGCTGCGTGCCAGATGTGACGCAGGGAAAAGGGGCGGGGCTTGAGAGGCACGCAGGGTGACATCATGGGAGGGCCATTCCCAGGCCTATTTTGATTGCCAGTCTGCTCCTGGTCACAGTTGTGCCAGATTGCAGGTTTTAAGTTTTTATAGATTTAAATTTTCACAGGGGCAAGAAATTATGGGGACAGTCAGAAAACAGAGCTATGGGTGTGTGCGTGTTTGTGCACGCGCGTGTGCGAGAGAGAGAGAGAATAATTATTTAATGGCAGACGACATTGCTATTTGAAAAGTTAAACCCTTATAACTGCTCAGGAAAATTGTTAACATCACGTATCAAAATATACAGAGTAAATTTAAATCAAACCCTGACTTCTCAACAGCTTTTGTCGTACCTGGCCTGCTGTGAACTATAGTTGTTGACGATAATATTTTTGTGGTTGTGTGTAAGAAGAAATCCACTTTTACCAATCAAAATTGAACTCTCCCAAGCCTTCTTAGAAGCCCAGGCAAAGTAAAAAATGCTACATCTGGTGGGGAGAACAAAGTAAAATTATGGAACTGCATATTCCTGGGATTATTTATTTGTTTTTAGCAAACGCCACCTCCCACCATTGCAGGGTAAAGATTAGGCAGGTCTATGCTTATAGGGAACATTGAATGAAGATAACAACTCCAGCTACATTAATTACATAGCTGGAGTCCATGTACCTTGTTTCACGTTTCTCTGACATCCCCACAGCAGGAGGCCAACAGGAGCAAATGCCTCCATCAGCTTTCCTTACTCCTCGCCTAAGCAGGAGTGCCAGCTGCCAACAGGGGCACCCTCTGAGTTTGATTTAGCGAGTCTTAAATAGACCCACTAAATTGAACTCCGGAAGATTGATTGCAGCAGTGGCAATCTTCCATTCGGGAAGATCTTCCATCAGTAGGGAGGATTCCCAAGAAACTGGAGCTGGCACTTCAACCTCATGGGAGAAGGGCATGGATCTGGAGAATTATTGTTTGTTTGTTTGTTTGTTTGCTTAAAATGTGTCTACACCTACTGTCTAGGGCTGACCAGAAAACAGCAGAGGCGCTTAACAACTGATTGAGGAGGTATCTGAGCCATTAGCTATCATCTTTGAAAAGTCATGGAAGATGGGAGAGATTCCAGACGAAAGGGCAATTATCGTGCCCATCTCTAAAAAGGGAAATAAGGACAATCCAGGGAACTGCAGACCAGTCAGCTTGACTTCTCTACCAGGAAAGATAATGGATCAAATAATTAAGGAATCCAATTGCAAACATCTGAAAGATGACAAGGTGCTACGTAACAGCCAGCATGGATTTGAAAAGAAAAAATCATGTCAAACCAAGCTGATAATTTTATTTGATAGGATAATAAACTTTGTGGGTAAGCGGGAAGTAGACTTTAGTAATGCATTTGATACAGTCTTGCATGACCTGTTTATAAATAAACAGGGGAAGTACAAGCTAGATGGTATTATATAAGGTGGGTGCACAACTAGTTAGATATCTGTTCTCAGAGAGTAATCAATGGCTCACAGTCATGCTGGAAGGGCATAAGAAATGGGGACTGGTTCTGTTCAATATCTTCATCAACAATTTAGATAATGGGGAAAATTTAAAAAACAACAAATGGTCTGGTAGCACTTTAGGGTATGTCTATACTACCCCGCTAGTTCGAACTAGCGGGGTAATGTATGCATACCGAACTTGCTAATGAAGCCCGGGATTTGAATTTCCCGGGCTTCCTTAGCATAAAGCCGGCGCCGCCATTTTTAAAAGCCGGCTAGTGCGAACCCCGTGCCGCGCGGATATACACGGCACGGGCTAGATAGTTCGGACTAGCTAGCTATTCCGAACTATCTGTACGCCTCGTGGAATGAGGTGTACAGATAGTTCGGAATGGGTACGTACTTCGAACTATCTAGCCCATGCCGCGTGTAGCCGCGCGGCACGGGGTTCGCACTAGCCGGCCTTTAAAAATGGCGGAGCCGGGTTTATGCTAACGGAGCCCGGGGAATTTAAAGTACGGGCGTTATTATCA